GTCCAGATTACGTCGTATACTAACTGTGAAACAGATATCTTCATGATTTTGGCAAATATTAGGTAAATCGAAAAAATGGGCGTAAAATTGGGTGTGGTCCCTTTTTTGCATAAAAACCTAACTCGGGGTGGGACGAATATTAAAAAAATTATCATCCAAATCGTTCCAGCCGTTCTCAATTGATTTAATTACAAATGAACAACAATCTGTATATATACAGATTAAAAAGTAGGCGTGGTCAGTTCCTCAGCCCCCAAATAAATACTTAGGGTTGGAGGGAAGGTCAACAGTATCACGTGTAACATTTTTCAAACTGATATCTTCATTATTTGGCAAATATAAGGCTTTTAGATAAATCGAAATAGTTCGCGTAAAAGTTGGTGTGGTCAACATTTTTTTCTTTAAAAACCTAACTCGGTGTATGACGAACGTTTGTACCAAAAAATATGAAAATCGGCCGGTAGCATTAGTGTATAATGCATATTTTTAACAAGGTTGGGCATATTGCACTAAATTTTTAGTGCACTAAGAATTAAATAATTAGTGGTAGTGCAATTTTTAATTACACTACCACTAAATGAACAGTGATAGTGTAATTATTAGTGCACTAAAACCTAATATAGGATGTAAAGTTAAGCTTTTCATTTTGAAAAACCCTAAACTTTGATGTAAATGTTGACTTACATCCATGATATGGGAACATTAATATGTCAACACTTTTAAAGTTTTTTTTTTTTTTCAAATTTGGTATTTGATGTTCGTAATAACAACCTATGACAGAAAAGTGTCTGTGTAGGTCCATGTCTTCGTATAGCCCCCATAAAACGATACCTCCCGATATTCGGTATTTTGATGATTTTAGCGACATTATTCACCGGAATTGTTTCAAATCTGGTATCCGAAGTTCGTAATGGATACTACAGCCTAAGACAGAAAACTACTTATTCAGCTCCACGTATTCGTTTACCCACCATATAAAGGTACATCCAGATATGCGGTATTTTAATTATTTTAGCGACATTATTCACCGTAATTGTTTCAAATTTGGTATTTCTAGTTCGTAGTGGATACTGCACCCTACGTCTTTGTATAGCCACCATACAACGGTACCTCCCGATATTCGGCATTTTCATGATTTTAGCGACATTATTCAACGAAATTGTTTCAAATTTAGTATTTGAAGTTCATAATGGATACTACAGCCTAAGACAGAAAATGGTCTATTCAGGTACACGTATTCGTATAGCCCCCATATAACAGTAACTCCAGATATGCGGTATTTTAATGATTTCAGCGACATTATTCACCGGAATTGTTTCAAATTTAGACGTAGGGTAGTAGGGTAGGCCGAACATTAAAAAAATATCCAAATCGGTCCAGCCGTTCTGAACTGATTCAATTACAAACGAACAACAACGGTTTTGTATATATATAGATTAAAAAGTAGGCCTGGTTAGTTCCTCAGATCCCAAATAAATACTTAGGGTTGGATGGGAGGTCAACAGTATCACGTGTAACAATTTTCAAACCGATATCTTCATTATTTTGGCAAAAATAAGGATTTTAGATAAATAAAAATAGTGGGCGTAAAAGTGGGCGTGGTCAATATTTTTTTACTTTAAAAACCTAACTCGGGGTATGACGAACGTTTATACAAAAAATTATGCAAATCGGTCCAGCCGTTCTCAACTGATTCCGTTACCAACAAACAACAATTGATTTTTATATATATAGAAGAAGAAGAAGATATATGATTTCCTTGACTACAATATTTGGCTATATTCATCAACGAAAACAGCATAAAAAAGCCAGAAGTTCGCATTTTGTGTATTTGGGATATCGCTTATAAGTAATGTTGGTATTTTTTGCACACAAAAGTAGTGGTCCATTCTAAATGCTGTCCTAAACCCTAACTACATACGATATTTCCAGTCCTTTGGTTTCTATTTGCGATCTTATAACGGCTGCAAAATCAGGAACATTTTTAGTGGTTGGTCCATTTCAACCCCTAAATATATTGCGGTATTATGTATTATGTCTTTGCGCATTTGTTTGTAACAGGCAAAAGAAAACGAGATAGTTTCTTTAGTTTCTTTAGATGATCTTCATAGAATCACATTCTGAATGGATTTATGCATGTCCGTCCATTCGTCTGTCCATGTCCATGAAGAAAGTACATGTCGCATTTATTGCCCGAGCTAGATGAATTTTGCACAAATCATTTGTTTGGCCCAAGAACGAACCCATAATTTTTACACATATAATTATTACAGGTAACAGCAAGTCCCAGCTGATTTGACTCTATAGTAACACTAGTGTCAAACTCGATATGACGTTTTGTGATTTAATTCCATTTCTTGATATACAATAGTTATACACTTTTTTGATATAAAATTTCACTGCAGGGCAATGCAAACATATTTTTTTGCCTAATAATATTACAAAAACGCCAAATTCTATGGCTCCGGAACTTTTTTTGCGGTTGAGGTACAGCGACACCACGTTAGATAATATTTTCATATATTTCATGTTGCCTAAAATTGCAAAATGTAGAATACTTTATGTATGTATGCTGTTTGGTTTCAACTTGAGGGGGATGTTGCCTTGTCCGAGATTTTCTAGCGATTGCGTGAAGTGTTGAGAGATTAGGACCAACAGCTAACAACTATACATTCAGGGTAATGGTGTGCAAGCATTCAAATTAAATATTTAAAGAAGTATTCTTCTGCATTCTCAATTTAATAATTCAAATTCCAAAAAAGTATATTTTTGAAATTAAAATAGTTTATTGTAAATTAATTATTTTGTTTAAATTTTTGGACACATAACTCTGACACTTGTATTACTTACAAAAACAAATTTGTATGTGCTTGTTGTTACGATTGTTGTACAACAACATTTGCTGTTACCTATTGAAATTGGTGATAATCGATCTAGATGTAGATATAGCTTCCATATATTTATTCGCCGATTTCAGGTTTATTGTGCAGAAAATGCGTAATACTCGTATAAGCCAAAATTCGAAAAATTTAGAGTTTAGGCTATAAGTAAGTATGACAAATTTGGTGAAAATCGGTTCCATATATATGTTTCATCTGATTTGGTGTTCAAGTCAACCACGTGTTTTAAATTTGCCGATTTCATCCGATTTTTTTAAATTCGTATTATACACTCCATAACAAGAATTTCCGGAACAATACATTTGGTACATGCTAAGTTTTGACGAGATTCGTTCAGATGTGGATATATCTCCCTCCCTATATAAACCCCTCTAAATTGATGGAAATAATGCTAAATTTGTACAAATAAATATGTTTCACCCGATTTAATATTTAAGAATTCTGAACGTCATAACATACACTCCATTGCAAGTTTAGAGGAAATCTATTAAGATATATGTAGCTTTTATAGGTTAGTTTCAAAATATTTCAATTTTAAAACGTCCGACTTTTGACTTTTCTTACCAGTATTTATTCACATTTGTATTTGTGAATTTTTTTAGGTTTTAACTTCTCTGCTAAGAGATCATTCTGAATTGGTGTGAATTGTCAAAATCAGTCCAGCCATTCTTGAGTTATAAAAGTAGATATAGATTTATATATATGTAGATAGATTTAACAAATTAAGCGCGGTCAGTTTCCCCACCCCCTTGGAAAGGAGGGTATATTAAATTTGTCATTCAGTTTGTAACACCTCTAAAAATTCGTCACAGACCCCATAAAGTATATATATTTATGATCAGCATAACGATGTCAGTCTGGCTGTTTGTCGTTAAATTCCACTTCTATCTTCCAGTTAAATACTAGTGGTACAAAATTCAGTACAAATTAAACAATTCGAATAATGAATTTCATAATTATTACTCTACAACTTCACCGAATAATAATTGTAGAAAATAAAGCACTTGATATTAGTCGATAGTGAGTACAATTTTTCAAAACTTCTCTCTTTCAACATCATAACACAAAGTGTTCCATACAGGACCATGTTACGATATAAGTCAACGAAGGAGTTTTTGTTGTAACAGACAAAACCAACTTGCATGGTTATGCTACTTTGTTCTCGTAAAACAAAAGCATAACAAGTGAAGAAAGATGAAATTTTTCATAAGTGCGGTTGTAAGATTTAGAAGATTTTCTAAAAGAATTTTAGTTTTATGTAATTCTTTGGTTCCTCTTCTACTGAGTTTACTTGGATAATTTTTTTTTGTCATAGGAGTTATAACTCCCGGGGAGAATATACCTGACAAAGAAGAAGGGAACTGATGAGAATTGGTGGTTCTTTCCGAAACCTAGGTATTCCCTGCATTACCATCGTTCTCCACTAATAAACAAACGTTGTTTTTATAAAAACAACAATAAAGGGATTAAGCCTGATCATTTTGCAACAACAAAATACTATGGTATCCCTACGACGCTGTCCACGTATTACAGTACCACATCACATTCGGCATTTTTAGGGTATTTTAACCATTTAACCATACAGGCAACTTTTGCGAGTCGATCCGGCATACCTAACGTATATTTTACGTGTTGTTTACCCAATCGTTTCATTTTTGTCACATGACGTCTCGAACATCTAAACTACAAACATCCCAATTGCGTCACTCACAGTTAGTGCTTTAGAAGTAACCATGGACCAGCAAAAGCAAATTACTGAAACTTTTTGTGAGTGTTTCTGCAACCACGTGTTTATTTTCTATATTCTGCTTTGTCATGGTTATCCTTCGACCATGTGCTTCCTTTGTGTGCGTACGGAAAAGCTTTAATTCCTTGTCAAGTTTCGCCCCTAAAATCTACTTCATGTGGAAATAAGCGCACACTCGCTACCATCCGCTCGTTTCTCTTCGTGCAAGAACCAAACTGATTGTAGTCCAAATTCAAATTGTTCCGACACACACTGACACAAGAACAATACTCTTGGAAACTTTTACAAGCACAACTACCACAATAAAGTTCACCCTTCACGCTAGTCGAGGCGTATGGCCAGTTTTCACCACACAATTTCATTCAGTTTATAACGGAAAGTTCTAAGCGCCGGTAGTCCACGAAAAGAACTCGGTCGAATTGCAATACACATTTGGAACTACGATAGAAACCTATTTAAGGCCACATCATACACACACTACCCAACTTTACTATAGCTTAAACTTAGTGTGGAGCGGCGGAAACTTAAGGGAAAACCAACCCAAATCGTTCTGTACCAACACCCCGCTGTGTACAAAGAGGAAAACCTACCCTTACGGAGACGGCGAAAAGGAAAAATTATATTGAATGTATGTGTCGTGTGTGTATGTGTTTGTGAATAATTTAATAAAAATTCTAAATGATTTTTCACAAAGTGATTTCAAGTTAAAAAATATATGTATATACGTAATATAAGTATATGGGTGTTGAGTACATGCTTTTAGACAGAAAATCAAAATGAAATATGTTGTTGAAAACCAGGCAAATTTTTATGCATTTAAATCAAAAATATAAGTGCCAAAAATTCACATCTTTACATATACAGCATGTACATACCTATGTGTGTATGTATGTGTTTTCCAGTCGTAATATCACAGATTCGCTCTGTCAGTGTATTTGTGTGGTAAAGTGCATATATATACACACACATACACATGGATACGTGAAGCGTCTGCGTCTGTCCCTAATACGGAAATTTGCAAAAGTAGAAATACTGTTGGAGCACGTCATTAATTGATGAAAAGAATGTGTCAGACAGACAATGTGAATTCATGTCCGCAATTGCACATTGTTTTGTTGCATTTGATTGAAAAATTTACAGTTTTTTGTTGCAGTTTAACAATCATTAATGTAAAATCGCCCAACCTCATGACATGGTGCAGACGTAACAAACCAAATGGCGTCTGACAGTGAAAAAATCATAAACAAATTAAACGCTGAGACGCGTTGCACCCATCCTTCCGTCCGTCCGTCCGCCAGCCCGCCCATCCTATCCAAGCCCACTAAATAGATGTGTGTTTTCGCCATTTGCTTGCTCTTGGACTTCGCTTCACACGTTGTTGCACTTGAATTTGAAACATTTGTTTATTTATTGCAAAAATAGAAACCAAAATAAACAATTCCTTGTAAGCATTAACGCTGGCGACGGGCGAGCGGGGCGAAACGCCAGACAGAAAACACATTTCTAAAATACCCGCCAATGCACATTTTTAGATAAGCCCAACGACTCTTTTCCGATCATTTTCGGCAATTCACGTGGATATGGGGTAGGGTGGCGTGGATGCGCGGTGTCACAAGATGAGGACTTGGTCCGTCCGTACAGCGACGTCATAGACCGACCAATTCGTATGTATGAATACATTTGTTTTGTTCGTATGTGTGTGTGTATGTAAAACCATCAAGTTACGAAAGCTTTTAAATTTGTTCTATGGAACAGCTCCTTTTGTATTTTAAATAATTAAAAAATAATAAAAGTAATATCGAGAAAGTACAAAACTACAAATTTTATTAAGAGATCAACCAACACCCTTAATTGAAAGCATATTAATAAAATTGGCTAATGCCATCTGCATCAACAATGTCAAAATTTCCTTGCCAGTGAAATTAATGGTCTCGGTTTCAATTGGCGTTGTGTAACAGAAAAAAAGAGGCGAAAAATATCAACAAAGAACTTACCAACAAAAACCAGTGCGAAAAGTGGAATGTTTCCTGTTTGTTTGAAGAGAAGGAGAGCATAGGAGCATTCCTTCTCTCACCAAGTTGTCTACTTTGATTCCAATTCGTAATAAACAAACCACATCATTTTGTGTTAGGGGACAGAAGAGCATTAAATAAGATTTACTTTTCGTGTTTATATGCCATTGATAAATTATAATATATAAATTAAAAAATATTCTTGGCCACAATCGAAAGTCGCAATTATGACATTTGTCGGAAAGGAATTTTCATTTTTCGTGTTTCAAACTGATTCACAAATACAAAATAAAGTGCAGAAATTTTATGTTCCTCGACCCTATTTGAGTTTACTCTGAATTCTATCCAAAAAAGCAGGTATCTCAAATATCACTCAATTACATTCTCTTGTTTTTTTCGATTAAATGAAATATGGGGTACCTCTTAATATCACCATTTTTTCGATAAAATGTTGAGGTTATATAGTCTACTTTTTGAAAAAATCCCAATTGAAAATACCTTGTATGAAAGTTATTGAGTTTAGTTTGTTAGTTTGCTTTCCTTCTGCCCGAAATCTGTAGTCTAATCAAAAACAAGAAAAAAGGCTGTACGTTCGGCCTGGCCGAACTTGCAATATTAGAGTCTATACGACGACATGGACCTGCCTAGGTAAGCCATTAAAATATTCAAATGCGAAACTTAAAAAATCGGTGAGTAATGTAGCTAAAATCGTCAAAATACCGAATATCGGCAGGTACCGTTATATGGTGGCTATACAAAGACTTGAACCTACACAGACAATTTTCAGTCTTAGGCTCTCGTATCCATTACGAACTTCAAATACCAAATTTGAAACAATTCCGGTGAATAATGTCGCTTAAATCATCAAAATACCGAATATCGGGAGGTACCGTTATATAGGGGCTATACGAAGACGTGGACCTGCACAGACAATCTCCTATCATAGGCTGTAGTATCCATTACTATCTTCAAATACTAAATTTGAAACAATTCCGGTAATAATGTTGCTAAAATCAACAGAATACCGAATATCGGGAGGTACCGTTATATGGGGGCTATACCATGTAGCTAGATCCTACAAATAAGCTAGATCTTTCAGGATGTGAACTCTTGCAATACATTGATAAGATCTCGTTGTTAAAACATGTTTTCATAAATCCATTGTTAATACATAAATCAGAGATGGGAACCTGTTTTCAAAGTAAATAAATTTGACAATATAAATTACAGAAAATTCTGATCTGGATATTCCTATTAAAAATGTGGTTAGTTTCATAATGGTATAAAATGGTCTGTATCTTCAAGCCAAACAAATAAAAGCAAGGGAATTCTTTAAAGATTAAACTCTTTCAAACGTAATTTTTTTCATTATTTTCAATTGCACTTAACTTTGAAAATGTGTACGTTCGACCTATGTCGAGAACTTCGTGAAATTAATCACCTTGTTATTAACATTTTACCATGAACTTAGTTTCTGCTGTTTGTAAACAAACATTTCTTCGTCATGACAACGGGAATTTATATAATCTATGGAATTCTGCTAGAACTGGGACCAGGACTGAATTCAAAATATAATAAAACTCATTTCTTGTTTCCAAGGCAGAATATCATGGGCCATAATGGGTATGAGTTGTCGTCTATATAATCGAGTCCTGTTTAAAAGACTATAGCTTATGTAATGTGCTCAAGCTAAAGACAATTATTTTGAGAATAATTATCAGAAAATTTCTCATTGGTCTTTTATGCTCCATAGATGATGTCATTTTGAAACTAGAATTCAGCACATTTTTTCGGTTTATATTACTTTGTACCCACAAGCACTGCGTTCCAGCACTTCACTATTTGTTGAGGTTTGCTGCCCAAAATATACTTAGCATGCCGTAGCATCAAATAGCAGATGTTACTTCACAACACAATGGAAGTTAGATTTTGAAAAGAAAAAACTCTGTAAATAAGGGTTGGTGAAAATGTTCTCCTGTCCTGTGTTTGTAATGGAAATGCTGAGGGGGGTTGGGTGAATAAAATAATACAAAAGTGTGGGTGGCAAAGGTGGAACAAGGAGGTCCTGCGTATTACACGACTGCATGCCTCTTTTGCGACTAGATTGAGGCTGGCAATGGCATTGGACGGACGGACAATCCTGTAGTTGCCATTGCTTTGTTCCATGCATGCAAAATTTTGGCAAGTCAACCCACATCAGCGTGCATAGGTTGGTACTCTCCCATGGCATGACGTTTTTAAATTTGCCCATGGCCGTATATGCATAGTCACTTTCTTTTCGCCACCACCGAACTCCGATCTCGTCTTGTATGGTCTATTTTTGGCATCAAATCAATTTCTCAACCTGTGTGAGTGTGTGAGTTTCGACAGCGAAATTGTTGTTAGTCTTCGGTGAGGTTTAGTACAATTTCACCAGAAAATTATTCCGAATCTATTAGGTAAATAATGGATGTAGAATGTACAAAATGTTGTTGGCGTCTCTCGTTCGCCTTGCTTATAATCAATCGTTGCGCTTGGCAGTGGGAAACATCGAGGACAGAAGAATAAACAGTCATCTTCGAGAAGATTTTCTTAAAATAAAATCGATTTTTTTTTGATAAAAAACAAACTTATGTATTTGGTAATCTTAAAAAAATGAAAAAAAAAAACTATTTAGTCCCAAAAAGGTAATTAAGTAAATTGAAAGTTTAATCATCTATTAAATCCGCTAAAAACAAAATCCGTTCGTTAACATGTTTGGCAAAAGAGGTTTCACATCCTGGCCGCTTCTATAACTTTTTTTATTAAAAAACAAGTAAGCAAAGGCTACAGTCGAGCGGGGCCGACCGTTGAATACCCTACAACACTATAATAAACGATACATTTTATATAGGCAAGATACTCGAAAGAATTCCACAAGATATTGTGACAAATAATAAAAGAAAACCATCAGGTTTCGTTCTCTAATTTTCGAATAATAGCAACTTAAATGGTCTTCCTAGATCTGGAATCAATATTTCCCAAAGACCTATAATCTCTCAGAAGTGGCAAAAGATTTACATTTATTATTGGTTTTTGACTGAAACGCATCTATATGAGATACAGACATTTGACTATATTCTTCAACGAAATCAGCCTTAACGAAATAGTCAGAAGTGCGTCTTTCCTGTATTTGTGAATTCTCCAAAAAGTCACTGGAATGGACATTTTCGTATTTTGTCTACAAAAGTTGGCAAACTCCTTCACACATTGAATATTTTTGGATGGCCATCCAAATCTGCTTGGCTTTTGCAATGTCCGGTAACCCCCATAATTACGACCTGCTGACAATTTTGCAGTTTTTTTTGTCCATTTCAACCCCTAAATATATGGCGATCATCTTCAAAAAGAATAGGCTTTTATTCTGACCCTCATCTTATCTCCATGCAAAATTTCGTAAGGATCGGGCCATAAATGCGATCTGTATATGATATCCTGATATTCTAACTACTTAGTTTTGTTAGCTGTAGAAATATTACCAAATGTTCAAATCAAAATGAAAATATGCCAAAAATATGACAAAATTGAAAAAATATGAGAAAATTTTACAAAATCAATATTTTCATCTTTAGAGAGATATTTTTATACGATTTTTTTC